GGAGTAAGGCTTACCGGTAAAGGAACCCTGAGGAACAGGTGATTTCTGGGTCACAGAAGGCAAAGCCGAAGCAACGACATCAGAGTTGTTAATGAGAGGGGTAAATTCACTACCCTCATCACTTGTGAAATCACTATGAAATTCATCATCGTCGTCAAGGAACAACATGATAGTGGATGTTCAAAATCCTAAATAAGTGAGATGAATGTAGAATGAGTGACGAATTCGGAATTCACAGCAAAATTGTGTACAAACACAAGGAACTGTATCAGAACATCTATTCGGACACAAGCTATGAAAAAACCGAAGGACGGAGAATCCCCGTAGGAGTGGTGCAACCACACCACCGTTGATGAAGAAAGAAGAGAACCAACATCGTTAATACTAACACATCCCAGTCTAACTTTGCACTGGACTGGGATTTTGGTTTAAATTTATTTAAACCAAACAGGTTTTATAAACAGGTTTTTTAAACAGGTTTTTATAACTAACAAACCGAAACACTTCTGTCAAATATTATTCAAAGTGAAATATGATTGAAGAAAATATGATCCAAACAAATTTTCAATTTCACGTGACTATAAGTAAGGTCAGTTCTCTCGTGAAAAGCTATGATAAATGGGATAAAATAAAGCTATACAATTTCATTACATCAGAGCATAAACCAGTTCAAATTATATGAAAATTTAAAATAATACTGTATCACAAAGGTCAATCGAAAAACTCCAACTTTATAAGTCTTCTGAAAAGCTCAAAGAAAATCCACACCTTTTTTCCTAGAAGCGTGTCGATGACCGCACTTTGACCATTCTGTGAATAATCGGTCGTGTCCGGATTACTCAAGTTCCTGCTTCCTTGAGACTTCAAAAGCATTGCTGAAATCTCAAATATTGCATCTATTCAGAAAAAAAGTAAAATTTTCAATTAAAGGAGGAGGGCCGAACAAAAAAATGCGTAACACGTGAAGCAAAAGAGAAAAACTCATTGTAATGAAAATTGTCTTGCATTCAACAATTTAATTTTGCCGAAGTAAGATTACTGTACATCGGTTATTTAGTTCGTTCAATTTAGAGAATATGTCTGATCACTGCGCGCAGTAGGAGTAGAAAAAAATAAACAGGGATGAAATAGAAACTTCACGAACACAAGGTCACTAACGGTATCTCAGACGGAAAAATACACTCACCAGCTTTCATTTTGCGCGCGAAACCCCATTTCCACGTGAGCAGAACCACGCTACAAATCACCAATATCAGAACAACCCGCGAAAATCTGCGCATCGTCACCTTCCCACAATTCCTCGCATCTGAAAAGAGAAGACTCAGAAATATCAGAAGGAAATAAAAATAGTAAATCCAGACAAAAATCGTCAACTACGCGGTAACAAGCTTTTTTATTTGTTCTTCCCAATATTCTCCAGAATGATATCACAGCCACGATTAGCCAATGCGGTGGAAACGCGTTTCCTC